CATTCAAGAAGTATTTTCCTGTGCCAGTACTGACCGAATTTGTTCCCATAAGGAATATTGTGAAGTAGATTAGTCCATTTCAGACCCCCAAACATACACGTACAAACGCACTTACATAAATACACTTACATAATTGGTCGCATTGGGAAGTGATCGTTAAGCGGGGGTCCACTGTATATATATATTTATATAATATTTTTTATTTATATTTATATTAATATTAATTGGGGCCCTGATATAATATTCTATATGGAGTTTATTATTTTATTTCAGGTTGCTTTTTATATTGTATCTTTATATATGCTTCTAAACTGTTGTAATTGCGTGCCTCTGCAAACACAGTGATTTTGTATGAGTGAGGTGAAAGTGTTGAATGATGATGAAAGCATTTTCGTTTCTGGATTTTCTTTTTGGGTCACCCTGCCTAGGTTGGAGATGGCTGACTTGTTGAAAAAAAAAAATGTAGTATGTATGTTAAGCAGATAATAATGATCCCTCCCATTATAGACCTATTGTGCTTAATAGTTTCATATCTAAATTAGTGGAACATATGGTTAACTGGAGAGACATGTTACTTGGAGAGACTCATCTGTATATACACGCATCGTTTTTTTATACTATTTGCAGAGTCTTTGTCTAAGGTGGCTTGTGGTGGCACTTTTTTCAGCCTCGAAAAAGCCTTCAAGACTATATTGCATTGCATCTCAGGCACATTCTTGTAGCCTAAGAGGCCACCTTTCACTTTTTCTTAAGGTCTTCATGACAGATCAACACTACTGTCTGAATCAGTAAGTTTTTCTTTAGATTTTATTTATGCAGAAAGCATTCCTCAGTGGTGCATTCTGAGTATAACCCAGTTATTATGTTCAATGAAACTGAAAACCTTATCATTTCTTGGGCTCTGTTGTGGATTTTTTTTTCAACAAGTTGGCCGTCTTCCACCAAGGCAGGGTGACCCCAAAAAAAAGAAAGAAAATCCTCAAAAGAAAATACTTTCATCATCATTCAACACTTTCACCTCACTCACACAATCACTGTGTTTGCAGAGGTGCTCAGATACTGAAGTGCTTTCTGTACATGATTATCATGGCCTTTCAAGGGTGTTATAAAATATGCAAATTTGTTTATTTTTGCAGATGCACAGGCCACTGACGGTCATTATCTTGAAGGATCCGTGGGTCCCCCATTTGCAAGAAATTCAGGCACCAGCTTGGACTTCGATTCTCTCCTCCGTGCAGCTATGGACAGAAAGAAACGATGACCTTCGAGTTGCATAGTTTTTATCTTTGTAAGAAGACTTATTAGTTGACCTGTTTTGTAAATAGGCTTACATTTTTTTTTAATAAATGTCAGTGTTAAAAGTGTCATCAGTAATTCTGTCTATGTTCCTGGACTTTTCCTGACATTGTACATTATTTATGTGACAAAATGTAAGTGGAAATCACTCCCCATGGTTTTAAATATTTGTACATAACTCAACAATGTATTCTCCATTTACTAGTTATTACATTAGCATCATTTGGGCTAAGAAAGATCTATGCATTTTGTCACAAGTCTTGGGTAATGATCTTTTTTGCAGATCATTTGTGCTTGTGAGATAGATCTTGGAGAATTGCATTGGGATTTTTGCAGCTGTTGAAGTACATTGAGACTTTGCTCCTGACAGTTTTTTTTATTTTTTTTATTTTATCAAAGTATGTGTGTAATGTCATATGATATTGCTCAACACGTCCTGAGTCATTGGTTCATTAATTTATGAGTAATGCCATATAATTCCTGTACATTTTGTGCATTGAAAACGAATCAGAACCTGATGAAACAGGATAAGTACATTTAGTCAGTCAAAATGTTATTCTTGGATATAGTTTTATTAAACTAGTTAACAGCTTTTTCACATGACAAAGGTACAAAGTGTCATACCTGGAAACTTGTCATTGTAGTTTTGTTTGTACAATTGGCATAATTTTTTATGTCAATTTGAATATTATAGATGGCCATACAATGAAATTCCAGTTTATGGTGTAGTTATGGTGTTCTAACCATGAAAATAGACATTTCATGACTAAAAGCACAGCTTGCTGAGTGAACTGCAATTTCTACCCCCTTTCCCACGTACCATCGTGGAAATGTTTACTACAGTGTAGTCAACTTCTGCTGCTTTTGGAGTTAGAGGTTTCGGCAATTTAAATTTAAATTTCAAGAAGCACCTTACTAGGAAAAGGTTTTGTACATTAGCATTCTTGGAGTAACAATAGCAGTATAGTAGTTAGCATGTTATTTCAGGGGAAATTTTAAGTCTGTTTGGGATTGATATAATTTAATCTGTATTTTGTAGTTTTACATTTATTTTTATTTAAGCTAAAAATTATCTTGAATTTAACCTAGAAAGTAGTGATAATAGATAACCTTTTAATCTACCATAATATGTATATGGGACCTACATATGTATCATGTAACTGTTTTTCAAGCACAAGCTTTTAGTTAATATCATAGAATGATTTTCAGTAAACAGTGGATGAAATAGAGTAATGGTTATCATAAGGTATTGATCAATATAATGTTATGGTGACCCTGGTGCTATTAAAATCTATATAGGCCAAATTTTAGTTATCCACTTATAGTAGAATTTTCTCACCAGTGTAAAGATACCTGTTCTGTGTAGTATCTCAATTAATGTGTATGTACATAGCATTAGTTGATACAGAAACAATGGACAAAGTCCATTGGTTACAGAATTGTCCATTTGTTGTTACCATCGTGACAAAACAATCTCATCTCTATCCACTATTAAATTGAGGGTTTACTGTACTGTAATATCTTGTGTTATCTGTATATTGAAAAAAAGGGGGGTGGCTTGTGCTGCAAATGTTAAAGTATTATTTCAAATTTTACAATATCAAACTTAATTTTTTTGGAAGTTGTTTTCAGTTCATAAGACTATTGAGAAAGGTTAAACAGAATCAAAATATTGGAGTGTATCGGTTAAGACTTTCACTCATAAATTTATGTATTTTTGCCACTATTATATAGAAAATATTTTATTCTTTATTTTTTTTTATAGGGCAAAGATAATGATTTTCAGAATATTAACTTGTCATTGTATGATTATATCAGTCAGATATGACTTTTGTTTTCCTAATAGTTATTACATATAAAATATTTATATACATGGTTTTATACAATTGATAATTATAAATTATTATACAATGTCATCACAAATATGACAAGCCTTTTATAAATTGTCTCCAGATTTGCTTTGCAGAAATTTACTATATTTGGCAATTTGACTGCAAAAGTTTTGCCATAGTGAATGGTGATGTGCCATAGTAACCCTTTTATAAAGCAGTTTAACATGTATATTTGTGCAAGAGCATGATTTGCAAAATATTTTATTGTTCAGATTCAAATGCCATAGATTGCATTATGGTTTACATTCATTTATATGACAGAATTATTTAAAATAAAATTAACAAAAAGTGTGTCTGAATAATTTTTTTTTTCACAAGTTGTACATAGTTAAGGTTGCAGTCTCTTCTTTTGTAGAGTTTAGAAGGTACTGATTGGAAGTAACCTATAGTATTTTTGTATAAATTGGAAGGGAAAAAAAAAAATGACAAAACTCAAGAGTGAAGACTGGCAGGGATAAAAATAATTGCAAATGTAGAGTATAAACCATATTTAGTAATTTTATTTTTGCACTAGAATGACTGAGGATCTTCCTTTGTGTGTGTTGACTGTTGCTTTTTTCTTTACATATTGTCTTGCTTTTTTTTCTGATAAATGAAACGAGGGAAAAAGTTGAAAAAAATTATTACAAGGGCACAAGCTCACAGTAACATGAAGCAGAATTTATAGTATGCATCTGCATGCCTCTGGCAAGACAGTAATAGTGTGAATGATAGTGAAAGTGTTAGGCTTGCCGACACTAACAATGCTCTTTTCTGTCACGTCAGAGATCATAGCCATCCTATTGACTGGTCCTGCTAAAACTGTCTTCCCTACTTCCAACTCGAACAGTCGCCGTCTAGTTGAATCCTCTCTAATACACAACTTTCCTTGTATGAACCTTAGCCCTGGCTTCGTCTCTGTAGATGCCTTCCTCTCCCACTACATTGTAAAATGCTCCAAACTTCAGAACACCCGTGACTTAACCTGAATCCTCATTTTTTCTTTCTTTTTCTTCTTCCTCTTCCCCTTTCCTATTTCCTTTCTCCTCTGGGTTGTCTTTCTCTCTCCTGTCTCTTGTTTCTGTTCCTTCTTCATTTATTATATTTCACCACTTCCCCTTTCACGCACCTCTGTGCGATTGCTCTCCCTCTGTGGGCATCTAGCTCTCTTGCAGTGCTCCCCTTCCTTTGTTTTTGACTGGCTCGTCATCCTTATTTCCCACTTCTACCACTACTACTACCTCTTCTTCTACTACTACTACTACAACTACTGATGAAATTAAGACACATGTGCGGCGTCTGGTTGACTTTGTTGTGGACGTTTCGCCATCCAGTGGCTGGCTGGCTGGCGAAACGTCTATGATGGGGATGCCCGGGTGTTGTGCATGTGTCTTAATTTCATCTTGTCGGTATTATATACATTTCTTGTACTACTACTACTACTACTACCTCCACCTCTTCCTGCCTATATATAGCCGTTCTGCTCCACTTCTGTTAGTGTGACTTTGTCAATGGTCCAAGTCGGACCGAAACGTCGTCGTAAGCTTCTCTCTTTTATGTGCGGATTATTTGTGTATCGTTCCAGTCACGGTATTGTGCCTTTTTGTTATTTATTTATAGTGAAAGTGTTGCTTGTGAAGAAATGTCGCACGAGCTTCATGGTTACAAAAACAGTATGTCAGTCACTGATTGCAAAGGTGTACTGTTAACAGTAATGAAGAAAGTGAGAGAGAGACGGCATGTAAATGATAATGGTTGAGGTACACTTGCAGAGCAAAATCTTTGAGACAATGTTTCTCCTCTATTTTATTCACATGGAAGAGCTAAACGTGTAGAGGTTTAGTGCCTTGGGAATGAGAAGCATTTAGGTTTGATCCAAGGAAGGGGAGGTGAAGTCCAGTTCCTTGGATCAACATGTTTTACCTGTACAACAGGCTTCTTTTTTTGAAGCTAATGAAAAGTTTATTGGCAATATTTGTCTTGCTAAAAGTTTCGCTCAGCATTTTGTTCAACTTGTGAAGAAAAAGAAAAGTTACACAAAAAGCTTTTATTGTGGCACCATTTTGATCTATGTAGAGATTTACATTAATGACTATTAAATAGAGTTCTACATAGAGCAAAACATCACAATAAAGGAAAATTCACGCACTGGTCTCCAGTCAGGAATTCAGTTAAGAAATTTTATGTTAACAGTAGTGGGTCTGGTCAGATTGCTGAGACAAATCCTTTTGCTCCTCGCGCATTTATTATTGTGTGAAGTCTCACTTTATATGTGTAATGTGTGTGTAGGGATATTTTGCAGTTTGGCATGCTTCTGGCAAGACAGTGATATTGAGAATGACAGTGAAATTTTCTTTTGGGTTACCCTTCCTTGGTCAGAGACGGCTGGTGCGTTTAGAAGTATATGCTTTTTTTTTTCAATGAACCAGCCTTATCCCACCGAGGCAGAGATCTATACATATATGCATACACACCAACCACGGGGAAAATGAAGTTGCCGTAGATTTTTTGTGCTGTTGATTGCAAGCCCATCTGTAGTGAAAGGAAATGGAATGTGAAATTGCAATAGCAATCTAGACACATGTACAGGAACACAGAAAGTCTCTCTCTGGACTGAACTGTGTTTCCAGATGCATTTCCTTTCATTGCATTGCTCCTGAAGATGCAATTTGCAACATTAAAGACCTAGATCAACTTCATTCCTTATTCTTCCTCCTGTTCTTGTTGTGCATTTTTGATTGCTTATTTGCATTTTTTTGCTCTCTCCCTCTCTCTTGAAATATATGTATATTACACTATAATTTTTTATATGACCCTCTTACATACAAGTTTTTGTAAATAGATTGAATCCAAATGCTTGTACTGAAGATTGTACTATTCAAGTACTTTTTATGGCTCCTCTGCATTAATAAGTTTTGCTTCTTTATGTGATTTTAATGTGTAAATGACAATAAAGCAAATACTGGTACTGTAATTTTGTGTGTATGATACATGACTGAGTAGGCTAGAGCAACTGCTACTTGACTTAATAGGCTGAAATAGCTGTTATACAATTGTGAATTAGTTGGAATAGGTACCTTGTGAGAAGTAGACTGAAATAGCTACTTTCATGGCTGTGAAAGTAGCATTTGTTTCCCTCTAAACATGCACACTGTCTAGGTTTTTCCTTTTGCACCATGCCAGCTTTGGGGAAGTGAGAGTTACAATGACTGCAAGTTTTGCTGAGGTACCTAGGTACCTGTTGAGCATGACAAGATTTCCTTTTTGTATTAGTACATCAGATGTCAGATACTTAGTGAATAATATTTTACATTCATATTACTTAAAGAGAGAGATGCTGATATTGTATGAGAATCAATTGTCCATTCACACAAGCAGAAGGTGCCCTTGTGCTGGTAAAGGACTCCATCTAAGAAATTGGAAATACTCTCCACTTACTTCATGAAACCTGATTACCCCTACCTATATTACCCTTTTCTTTTACTTCCCATGAATGTACTATTACTACTATTAGTAATACCAGTGCACCACAGCCTGAAAACATTTTAAACAATCTTTTTCATAATTATTGGGCAGGCAGTAAAGGCCATACTGCAGTCTTAATTCTGTTACAAAATCTACCTAGATTGGTTTAGGACCTATGAGTGCATATTGAAATTCCTTGTGAATGTGTGTGTATTGAAATCACCCAAGTGTCCACACAGGTGTGGAACATTAATGCTGCCACTACACACCAGTATGAATGAAGGTCTTATGATCCTATTACTGGAAACCCATATTGTCCTTGTTAGCTCTAAAAATTGATATATGGTGATGGGGGGGGGGGGGAGCTGCCTTCACAAACCCCCCTTGACAAACAGTTTTAAAGATATTTAGATATGTCACCAGTATGGACATTTGGTAGATTCCTGTAAAAAAATTTCTTCCATCATATTACATATACAGTGTGTACGTTTGTATTTCAAGTAAACAATAGCTTTTAAAATGAAAATGCAAGGAACATTAAGTGGAATGAAATGAGTCATTTTGTGAGTTTTTTAACAACTTTTAGCAGGTCATGATTTTTTTTTTCTGGTGTTATTTAGGAGTTTGTCTTGTTTAAATGACTAATGTGGGTATTTTTATTTGATGTTCAATAATTACTTTTTTGTATATTCTGGGAGTCCAGTGTTCATTCTTGAAAAATGAGTTTTATGGCATAGGGTCAAAGGAAAGTCTGTGTCACCTATCCATCTCAGGAGTGACAGTTGTCTATTGTATTCTGCTATACCAGGTGTAATTTATTTCTGCCTGGGTGTGCAAAATATAGTATAAATAAAGAGCAGGGTGGTGTGCTGTTTGTTTCACTAACATTTTCATCCATTAGCAAATAATTCCTTAGCACTCAGCAGTGAACTTTATATTGATTGTAGGTAGGCAGGTGAGAGGTACCCCTGTGTTCTGTTTACTTTTATATTAACCCCTTTACTGTTGTGACCCCAAAATTGAAAGTCCTGTCAGTGTTGCAGTGATTAAAGAAATTATCATCTAAAATGGTAAAGTATTGTTTTATGAAGGTAATGCCACCAAAAATGCAAATTTTGATAGAAAACTTAGGGAATTATGCTGGTGCACCTCTTCAAGGGGGGCTCCTTGGCGTGGTGAAGAGGCTCTTGGTCTGAGGAATTAGACCTGTTGGTCTACTTCCTCAGACCGAACCTAATTACCCCCCAATCCCCCGTTCCCTATCCCATCCTCCCCTTTTTCCTTTCCTCCTCCTCCTCCTCACCCCTCCCTTTTGCCCTTCCTTTTTGGCCTTTGGTGTTCCCCCCCCCCCCCCAAGGGCCCACCTAGTTCCTGGGTGGGGGAAAGGGGTCCCGGGGGTCCACCCTTTTCCGTTGAGGTTCTTGGGGGTGGCGATTTTCCCGGGGAATCTGGATTCCCGGGGGTTTCCTGTCCCTCTCCGGTATCCCGGAGGGTGGTTTGGGGTTTCTGGGGCGACGGGTGTTTCCGGGAAGCCCCCTTTTCGTTTCCCCGGGTGGTGGCCGGGGAGGTATGCTTTGTGGGGTTTTTCCGGCCGCCCTCCTTTTGTCCCCCGAGGTAGCTTGGCAGTGTGAGGTTGCACCGGATTCCCTTTACTGGCTATGGGTAGGGAGGGCCGGTTCCATGTGCATTTGCGCAAATTTGCGGTGTGAGGCCCTCTGGGCGCGGAGGGGGATTTCTGGCCCTTTCTTTCCTCCTGGGAACTATCCCTCCCGGGCCCCCCCCCTTTTTTATTCTTTTTTTTATTTTTTTTTTCTTTTCTTTTTTTTTTTTTTTTTCTAAAAAAAAAAAGAAAGAATAACCTAACCAGGGCAGCCCTAGGCCATAACCGCTACCCCCGGCCCCTTGATACGCACCCCTCTGCCCCCGCCTCGTTTTTGGACCATCTTGGGACACTCCCATGCCTCTGTACCTCTTGCGGTCTTTTTCCCCCACCCGCTTCAGGTACGAGGCCCCGACTGACTCCTTCTTTTTACTGACCTTCGTTTCCCTCGACTATGTTTCCCGGCCTCTCCCTTACAGGCGGAAATTTTTCGAATCGCCACCCATTCCACGTGGGAACCAACTCGGGTCCCACACCTAAACGCCAACACAAAACCTGCTGATAAACTTTTCCACCTTCTGTTTTTCTCAGAAAAGATCGACACTCCTTCACTCCCTTTTTCCACGTTCATTTTTCAGACGCACAAGGCAAATTCTTCATTTTAGCCAATTTCCCTCTACTGCCTATTTTTCTGACTAAAGTTTGGGGCAAGGCACTCCTAGCCATTTTGGGGTAAAGATATTTCTTTTCATGCTTTTTAAGAACGGTACCGCTCTCACCGTAAGAATGCCCCCCGGCTCATGGTTTTTTCCTCGCTTTCCAAAACGCATTCCGCCCTATTAAAAAGCATCATTCCCTCAATTTTGTGTGGTACCGTCTTTTCCCCCCATCCATAGCTAAACAAAATTTCCAACATGTGGCACTGCATTCTTGAACAGTAAAAATCCAAAGATCCCCCAATCCCCAAGGTAGCACTTGCGTTTTCCTGCCCGGGGGCGAGACGATCCCCTACAATGTGGCTCGTTAACTTTTGACACCATGAACCCCCCATCCTCAGTTTATGTAGCAGACATCAGTTAAAATTCGAAAGGTGACCCCTACCCGCAAGGTAAAAATTTGCTGGCTTTGGGCCATCCAGCGAAAATTGCAGATCTATCGCCGAATCCCCAGTCTGGGTGCCGAAACCATTCTAATACGTCTTAAATCGACTCCCCCTTGCCTTAGTGCATGAGGCTCCCCCTTCGTACTCTCGCCTTGTCAAGTTACTTAAAACGACGGAAAATCCTTACCTAAAAGAGGCAGAAGGTCTCCCTTTCCGGCAGTTTCTCATCTCCGCCCCCAAAAGGGAGTACCTGTTTCTTATTCCCTGTTTCAAAACGTCCCCCCACTTCTGGTACCCTTTTCTGCCCCACCTCTGTGGTTACCTCCCCCAATCACTCCTTTGCTAATTTTTTGCTGTCCTCGGTCAGACGCCCCTACTTCAACGTCTCATCTATCTCGCTTCTTCGTGTTCTCTTCACAACCCTCGTACGCGAGATCTCGTATGAACCTCCTCCCAATCGTCCCTTATTTCAAAAAAGGTCAAAAAAGGCCCCATTAAACCTCCTCCCCTCCCCCACCTCCTCTTTTTTCCTCCCTGTCTCTGTATCTTTTTCTCCCCCCCCCTCTCACGGCCTTTACAAGTGTAGAGTTCACCCTCCTCCTCTATGTCCCCTTCCCCCCCCTTTTCCCTCCCAATTTTCTTCCTTTCTGCCCCCTCCCAGGTTTCTCCTCTTGCCCCCTTTCCCACGCTTCTCCAGTTCCTCCCCCTTTCGCCCCCCCCCCCTACCTTGGTACAGTCCATTACAGTTCCAAAACTTTACTCACCTCTCCCACCATTTTTCCCAAAATTGTTCCCTTGGGCGTCTCTGAATTCTGAAGCACTTTAAGCAATCTCTGAAAATTGCAGACCAAACCTCAAGGACACTGAACCACCCTCCCCTCCCTTTTCCCCTTCCCTATTTCCCTTGCGCAAACCCCCCTTTTTCAAGCGCACCCCTTTCCTTCGCGCTTGAACTTTTCCACTGCCTCCGCATGTGGACTTTTTTAACCCCTCTAGTCCTGGAACCCTTACCGTGGATTTCAGGTATCTTTATCAGCCAATCATGGCCTTTTACAGTGGGAATAACCGGCCCCAGGGGGGAAAACGGGGGGAGTTTAGTGTTACTCTCCCCCTTTTCCCCCTGTTGGGGTTGCTTAAGGGCCAAAATTAAATCTGTTTCTCTCTCCCCCTCTCAGGCTTAATAATTTTTGTTTCTTCAGTCCTATTCTGATGGGACCTTTAATGAAAGTGCCCTTTTTCTGCACTATATTGTACCATCAGCTATTTGTTGTACTTCGCGCATTCCACAGCAGCCCCTATCCCTTGCTGTGGTATCGCTCTGTTCTTATATCTCTCTCCCTTTTCGGGATTATCTATTCCGGGTATTGCCTTTCTTGTTTTGTCTTTCCCCACCGATTTGTTACTTGGTGATTTTAATGCCCCCCCATTTTCCCCGGGGGGGGTCTCACTGTCATTCCCCTGGCATTCAGTTGAGGCTTTTCTTCCACCCACTCCCCCATGTTTTAAATAAATACTCACACCCATTTTGATCCTCGGGGCTCCCCATTCTCTCTTGCATCGATCTCTCAGTTTCCTTCCTCCGCCGCATTAGACTTTACTTGGTCTGTTCTTCCCTTACATACCGATCATTTCCCCTCATTCTTACTTCCCCTTTAATTCACCCCCCTCTTCGCATCCCACGCTGGGAATTGAACAGGGAAATTGGAACCCTTTCTCACACCTAATGTTTTTTAGAGGGTTCCTTCTTCGCCCCACATGACTTTTAAAACCTCTCCGTCCCCGTTTTAACCGCAGCTTTGCAGGCATTCTCAGAATGCTGCCTTGGTGGTCCCTGCTTTTGGGTCGTGCAGTACGTTGAAACGTTGCTGGGGGGAGGAACCGGGACGAACCCACAGGGACTTCTTGATTTTTAAACAGAAGCGGCGATCGCTCGCCGTGTATCCGGGTGTTAACCATTTCTGGCGAGATTATGTCCCACACACCCCTGCTTCCTCTATGAGTGCTCCCGGAAAAAAGTCGAAAAGAATGGTAAATATTCTTGCCGGCCCCTGTTCGCGGTTTCCGGTGTTGATATAGCAAACCCACTAAAGTTCCAATGAAAAATTGCAATCTCGGTTGTATTTTTTCAGGGGCCCATCATGCCCCTCATTTTTCCTCAAAATCTGCCGGAGTAGCACCCTTGGACTTTTCTTCTCTCAAGAAAAACATTAATGTCCTTTTACCTTTAAACGGAGGCAAAACCTCACTTGCCCATCATCGCAGCTGGGCCCCACGACATTCACATTCGTATGCTACAACATTTACATCAGTCAGCCCTTGCAGTCATATTACGCCTTTACAATCTTATTTGGTCACAAGGAGTTCTTCCACAGCTGTGGAAATCCGCCATTGTTCTCCCTTTCCGCACTACGGGACATGAAACCTCCCACTATCGTCCCATTGCTCTTACCAGTGCAGTTTGCAAAGTGATGGAACGCCTAGTAAATAGACGTTTAGTGTGGTATTTAGAGCCACACAACAGTCTCTCCACTCGTCAATATGGCTTTCGTAAGGGACGTTCTACAATAGACCCCTTACTACGCTTGGATACGTATGTTCGTAATGCCTTTGCGAATAACCACTCAGTTATTGCCATATTTTTTGACCTTGAGAAGGCATATGACAACTTGGAGGTATAATATTTTAGCCCAAGCCCACTCCTTAGGCCTTCGAGGCAATCTACCATCCTTCCTTAAGAACGTTTTAACTGACAGGCATTTCCGTGTTCGGGTTAATAATGTGCTCTCCCCGAACTTTATCCAAGCTGAAGGTGTCCCCCAGGGATGTGTTCTGAGCACAACACTTTTTCTCCTTGCTATTAATGATTTGGCCTCTAGTCTTCCATCAAATATTTGGTCATCACTCTATGTTGATGACTTCGCTATTGCCTGTGCAGGCGCTGACTGTCACCTTATTACAGTTTCTCTCCAGCATGCAGTCGACCGTGTTTCCAATTGGGCCACCACACGTGGGTTTAAATTTTCCAGCACTAAAACCCACCAAATTACTTTCACTAGACTCTGTCATCTCCGATCATCCTTTGTACCTCTATGGCTCCCGTATCCCTGAACGTGATACAGTCAAGTTTCTGGGCCGCCTCTTTGATCGTAGGTTATCCTGGAAACCT